GAGGTGTGGTGTGACAGTGTGCTTGAGGTTCTCCTGGGAAGGGTTAGATTGTGGGTACGCTGAGCCCGCCTGTCGTACGTGCAGTAGCGTGGCCACAGTGCGCGCAATGTGCTCAGCGTTCAAAGGGTGCATATGCCAAGGTGTTCATATGCCACGATGTTCAAATGTCAAAGTATTCTGTTTGACACACACACACACACACTCACAAGCACACACTCACAAGTGCTGCACTGGTTCTCACCTACTTGCTTCTTGCTCGTGTCGCTGTGTTCGTGCCACAGTGAATTTGCTGGCGTGATGGTCGGTGTGCGTGGCGGCCGGCCCCGCGTCGACTGCGAGCGCCAGCTCAAGATGGTGGATGCCGGCAACGGTGTGTGATCCGTGTTGGGGGGAGGGAGGCCATGCTCATGCCAGTGATATGATGCGACAATGTTGCGAGAGACGGCATCCTGCGATGTGCTGATGACCCAGCACCTATCATCTCCATCCACCTTGGCTCTCAGCGTTGCCCACGACCGTTCACCTTCGCTCACGACCACTGGCGCTCACCCTCACCGCTACTCACGCTCCTTGACCCTTACTCATCTTCTGTTCACCTGAAACGGGCTGTGCTCAGGCTATGTTGCCTTCACCAACCCTGGTGGCCGGCGCTACCTCTGCGCCGTTGGTCGAAAGGCCATCATGCTCCGTGCCGTGAGTTGTCCCTCCTGCCATCAACTCTGTCATTGCTCCTGTTGTGGTTGTGTCGCGCTGAACTTGGCTGCAGGTTTGAATTTCCTTCCCTCTCACACACGGACCGCTTGCAATGCACCTGTGTGTGATGCGTTGCGCTCACAGAGCCGTCCCATTGCGGCCTGCAAGTTCATGCCGTACACCAAGGTACAGTGTTGTTTGTTGAGTGTTGTTTGTCGAGCGAAGTGTGCAAAACCCCCTCGTCCCCATACACACTCTCCATTGCATGCTTTGTCTTGGCGTCCCCACCACGTTTCTACGCCATCCCTCACCCCCTCATTGCCACATGTACACATGCCCATGTCTGCGTGTGCTGTGCCTGCGTGCATTCACATTTGCTGTGTTTGCATGTGCTGTGCCTTCAGTCTGGCCGTGTGCCCGTGACCAACATCCCGGAGGTCGAGCTCGATGACGGCGTCGTCTTCCGCGCAGCGCCCGTGGTGCGGCCAGCATGCCATCGTGCCGCGCTCCCGCCTTTGTCACTCCTCCTCCTTCTGCTGCTGTGTGTGTGTACGTGTGTGTACGTGTGTGTGTGTACGTGTGTGTGTACGTGTGTGTGTGCGTGTGTGTGTACGTGTGTGTACGTGTGTGTGTGTACGTGTATGTGTATGTGTGTGCGTGTATGCGCGCTTGTGCTATCGCCTCGTGCGGATTTGTGAGCTCACCTGTATCCTTGCTTCTGTGTGCCCATCTGCCATAACGTACGCGTGCGTTGTGTGTGTGTGTGTGTGTGTGTGCTGCATATGACAGGGCCACAAGCACTTCCTGCGTTTCCTGAAGAAGAAGAAGGTCGACTGCCGAGGTGCGTGCACGCATGTACACCATGCATCACAGCAACCATCATCACCATTCACAATGACAACCTCGATCACAAGTTGCAATCATGTCATCGTCATCATCACTATTCACAACCGTGCCCACCCGCTTGCTGCAATCACGCTGGTGTCAGGCGGTGCTGGGCTGCAGCCCTACATTGTTGTGGAGATGAAGGGCGACCAGATGTTCCTGAAGAGGTTCGAGGTCAAGCGCACACGCACCCACAAGGCTCATGCCAAATGCTTTTTGCAAGCACGCTCGCGTGTGCAGCGTGCGCGTAATTGCAATTTACTGCGTTGTGCAAGAGGATGAAGTTATGTCACACGTGTTTGAATGTTCTCACCACGTCCCCTTCATCGTGCTCATGTGTTGAATGTGCAGCATCAAGAACAAGTCGTACCTCTTCTTTGCAGGTGCGATTACATGACACCGCATGTTCAGCATCATTGCAGTCGTCAGCAGCCTGTTAACACACTTGATGTTGCCTGTCTGATGCACGCATTGCGTGTGCACGCACGCACTCATGCACACATGCTGAACACACGATCACACGAGCACACAATTGCATGGCCTCACGAACACCCTTCCTTGCTCTTTGAATCCCATCCCCCTCCCCGCCCCACTTCGACCGATTGCCTGCAGGCACGATGGTGACTGCATCTCCAACGGGATGCCCCGTGTCTGTTGAGCAGCAGGACGACGGGTCCTTTCTCATCCTGGACGCCAGCGGCGCCTTTGCACTCGGCCAGAGCAAGGGCAACGTTCGCGCCGTGGAGAAGGTGTGTTTTGTTTGTGTGTGTGTGTGTGTGTTTGTTTGTTTGTTTGTTTGTTTTGTTTGTTTGTTTGTTTGTTTGTTTGTTTGTTTGTTTGTTTGTTTGTTTGTTTGTTTGTTTGTTTGTTTGTTTGTTTGTTTGTTTGTTTGTTTGTTTGTTTGTTTGTGCGTGTGTGTGTGCGTGCGTGTGTGTGTGCGCGCGTGTGCTTGTGTGCTTGTGTGCTTGTGTGCTTGCGATGCCTGTGGCGGTTGGTGGTTGTGAAGAGGAAGCATACTTTACCTGCATGAGTGTTGCTCGAACGGGTGTACTCATGAACACAAGCGTATCACATCACCCGTGTAGGATTCTCGCTTCGCCACCAAGTTTGCTCTGCACGTCGAAGTGCGTGCACTTTGTGCGTGTGTTGTGTGCATTGTGTGCATGCATGTGTGTCGTTCGTAGCACGTGTGCAAGAACTTGTTCTCGTGCGCCAACACTATTACCACCATCATCACCAACACCACCATCATCACCAACACCACCATCATCACCAACACCACCACCACCATCACCAACACCACCACCACCGTGACAGGAGGAGCTGCCACCTCGTCTGCAGGCCATCATGGATGGGGAGGACGAAGACGATGACGATGACGACTTCGGTGCGCGTGTATATATGTGTGTGTACGTATGTGTGCATGCGTATGTGTGTGTGTGTGTGCATGCGTGTGTGTGTGTGTGCATGTGTGTATGTGCGTAGGTACCGGACGTGTTGTGGTATGGGGATTGCGAATGGGAGAGCACAACTCCCCTGTATGGAGTCGCTCAATCGAGACACATCATGCCATGCCGTCCCTTCCGCACCCTTCATTATTCTCCCAAACTCACGCCACCGCCACCACCACCACCACCACCACCACCACCACCACCACTACTACTACTACTACTATCACCACCACCACCACCACCACCACCACCACTACTACTACTACTACTATCACCACCACCACCACCACCACCACCACCACCACCACCACCACCACCACTACTATCACCACCACTCATGCCACCACCGCCACCACTGCAGGGTCGCCGGAGCCGAGCGCGGATGAGGTGGTGCGGTCCGCCCCGCCGGAGTTCAACGATCTTCTTGGCATGAGCGCTGACGATCGCATGTAAGCGCACATTTGTTCGTGGTGCACATGATGTCGATAACGTGGAGAGGGAGGGCGATGATGGTTTGTAAAGGCACACAGGTGGTGGTGATGATCATGATGGACGCAGTGGTTGCTCACCTTTCAGCAACAACCAATAACACATTCAATCACGCAAACCACCACGCATTCACACGCACATACGCACACACGTGTGTACGTCAGGGAGCAAATGCTTGCCATGAGCGCGGCGATGCAGGCGATGTTTCCTCTCTTCCTGCAGGCGGCCGCGCAGCAGAAACTGCAGCAGAAGCGTTATCGCATGCACAAGCGCCGTGTCATGGTCAGTGTAGACGTGCTGGCCCTTGTGTGCAACTGGTGCTTTGCTGACGGACACTGTGGAGTGAGAGATACACAGCCATGCACCATTATCATCAGTTGTCGTTTGCAGCCCCATCTCACCACCACCACCACCACCACCACCACCACCACCACCACCACCACTATCATCAGTTGTCGCTTGCAACCCCATCTCACCACCACCACCACCACCACCACCACCACCATCACCATTACCACTATCATCAGTTGTCGCTTGCAACCCCATCTCACCACCACCACCACCACCACCACCACCATCACCATTACCACTGCCAACCGCCGATCACTGCAACTGCAGGAGGAGGACGTGGATGATGACGCCGAAAACGCGCTCGATGAATGTGCGATATCGTGCAATGGGAGCGGGTGGGATGTTTCACTTGGGCCGGGGAGTGGGTTGGGACGAGTGCATGCATGTGGATGTGTGAAGGCAAGCGCTTTGCTCTATTTGTGTCGTGTGCGGCATTCATATGTACGTGCACGCATGCCCGCACACGATGACTCATCCTGACGCCATCCTATGTTGTGTTGGTTGTGTGATGCTTGCAGTCGCATCTCGCCTTCAGGAGGAGCCGACGCCTGAAGGTGCCAACACATCACAATCAAAACACACTCGCACGCGTACACACACACACACACACACACACACGCACGCACGCACGCATATACATCAGTCCACAGTTGTATGGCCGTGCTCACACTTTCTCGCTGTTGTGCAATTTCGTGGCAGTGATTGACTCCATTCTTGAGATGGAGGACTCTGATGACGAAATTGACGACGACGAAGGTGACCCGTGCATCTCATGTGCATGGGTGCTTTGTCGCTTGAATCTTCCACACTCAATCACCCAGTTGATGTCACAAGCTCACATGTCACACACACGCTTACACATACACACGCTACTCGCCACACATGTGCACGCTCTCACCTGCGTACGCCCCATCATTCACACGCCACGGTCACGCATATCTGCTGCAGTTGCGGAGAAGGAGGAGGAAGCGGAGCGGCTTGACGATGACGCGCGCGCCGAGATGGAAGAGGAGGTCGAACGCATGCGCGAGGAAATGGAGGAGGTGAGCACGTGCTCATGGCTGCAGCGGTACATGCAGTGACAACAGGTGGTGGTGGTGGTGGTGGTGGTAGTGTGCATTCTCATCGGACTTGCGTTGTTTATAACATTGGTTCCTATTCCTCGCAGTACTGACGAGCCAAATGCATGGGTGTGCACGCGCGCGCGTGTGTGTGTGTGTGTGTGTGTGTGTGTGTGTGTGTGTGTGTGTGTGTGTGTGTGTGTGTGTGTTCGCGTTAGGCTCGCGCTGCAATGGAGGAAGAGCGCCAGCGGATGCAGGAGGAGCAGGAACGCATGCGCGAGGTACGGTGTCACGTGTAACAAACATATGTATGTCTCCAAACACAGACACATGTTCAAACACACACGCGCACACATTCGGACACACACATTCACACACACACACACACACACATTCAAACACATTCAAACACATACATTCAACACGCACATTCAAACACACACATAAACTGCTTCAACCCTCTCGCCCCTTCTCATACGCGTTCGTGATGTGCGCGTGCACTTGCACTTGACAGGAGATGGAAGAGCAGCTTGCGGCGATGATCGAAGCTGTTGAGGACGACGACGAAGAGGAAGACGAGAGTGAAGAAGACGAGAGTGAGGAGGAGGAGGAGGAGGAAGAAGAGGAGGAAGAGGAAGAAGAGGAAGAAGAAGGCTCTGGTTCTGGTTCTGACTCCGACTCGGTACGTGAAACACCCATGGGCTGCTATCAGCGGGGCGCTTGTTGCACGCGTGGGTGTACGCGACACTGCCACCTGCTTCCCTCAGCGCTTGCTTGTTCATACATGTGCAACGTCATCCAACCACGTGCACACTCTCATTTTGCACGCGCATAATATGTTTGTGATCTGTGCGTCTCCTTTCATTTTCGAACGCACGCACATGCAAACTCGCACAATCACACACAATCACACACATGAATACAAACACACAACAAACACACATTCACACATTCACACCCACATCATGTTTCCCTTCCCTTCCTGCCCTTCCCTCTCAACCCATGCCCCCCCCCCCTTCCGTCTTCACCTGCAACCTGTCATATCAGGAGGACGAGGATGAGGAGCCTGAGAATGTGCGCGAGGCGATGGTTGAGCCCGAAGTTGCACTCCCACCAACATCCGGCACCGTGCACGCCGCTGAAGACTACGACGCAGAGGAGAACTGCCGCATCCTCAAGAAGGTGCGGACTTGATGGTGGTGGTGGTGATAGCGACTCTTCGTGGTGGTGGTGGTGATGATGATGATGAGATTCATGATTGTTGCTGCCTTTGTTGTTTGTGTGTGGACCGCGAATGTTGTCACAAATGGCTGATGACTGTCCCTAATTGCTCAACCACATAATGCATACAAACACACGCGTGTCGTTGCTTTCCCCTCTTCCCTCTTCCCCTATTCCCCTCTTCCTCACTCCTTCCCCCCCCCCGCGCAATTTGCAGGCCATGCGCGGGTTTGGCTGCGACAAAGACAAGGTGGTGGAGGTGATGCTGAAGGGGAACAACGAGCAGCGTCGCTCCCTCATCACCACGTACAAGACCATGTACGGAAAGGTACGGCACAGTAGAGTGTATCCTCGACACAATGCCACTGAGGCATCTGAACTTTGTGTCCTGTGTTTCTATCACTGCTACACGTACGCATGTGCACGGGTTGCTTCTCGCATTTCACCTGACACAAACGTGACCATCACCACAACAACATAACACCATCGACACCGCAACATCACCACCATGTCACTGCCGCACCAGGATCTGCTCAAGTCGCTCAAGTCTGAAGTTGGCGGGAAGACGGGCGATCTCGTGCAGTGCATGATGAAGAGCCCCGCCGAATTCGACGCCTGGTCAATCCACAAGGTGTGATTTGATGAGATTGTTTGTTTTGTTTGTTTGTTTGTTTGTTTGTTTGTTTGTTTGTTTGTTTGTTTGTGTGCTGACAGCAACCCCTCTCATTGCCTTCTCCAACACTGTTCTTTCTCTCCTGTCTGCGCGTTGCACTGTCACAGGCTGTTGCCGGCATGGGCACAACGGACAGCACGCTGATTGAGATCATCTGCACCCGCAACAACGAGGAAATTGCTGCCGTCAAGGAGGCCTACAAGCGGTATGGCACACCACACAATGCAGACACACACTCACACACACACACACACACACACACACACACACACACACAATGCAGACACACACACGCACACGTGCACATATGCGCATGTAATCGGCAGCCATCGCGGCTTGCACATGTGCATGGTGTAGTGGTGTCCAATGCCCACTTGCTCGTGCGTTTGCGTGCAGTCGCCGTCAATCTTGAAAGATCAGCACGTGCATGTTTGCCACCGCCATCCTAACGAGCTCCCCATCACCCATGCGCGTGTGACAGCCGCTATGGCAAGGACCTTGAGAAGGTTGTGATCAGCGAGACGGGCGGCAACTACAAGCGCCTTCTCGTGTCGCTGCTGCAAGGTGGACGCAACATCTCTGATGAAGTCGACGAGGAGCTCGCAATGTCAGTCGTCACAGCGCTGCTATTGTCTGTGTGTGTTGTGCGTGTGTGTGTGTGTGTGCACACACGTGCATGATGTGTGCATGCCGATATCAATCCCTCATCACACACACACACACACACTGCCTACTGCTACTCCCCTGCACTTGATCCCTCTGCTTGTGACACGGCCCGCCGCAGGAAGGAAGCCAAGCTGCTGCACAAGAGCACCAAGGGATGGTTCACCGATGAGTCATCACTCAACCAGGTGGGCTGTGCGCACCAGTGCCACGCACACCCATGTATTGTTGAGATGTTCGCAACTTGCGTGATGTTGCTTGACACAGAACAGCAACAGCAGTGTTTCCACGTCCACACCACTCCCAACCCCTCCCGTACCGTTTCTTGCGTCACGGAATGTTCACCTTGTATGCTTCCGTCCATCCGCGATGTGGTGGTGCAGGTGCTTGCGCTGCGCAGCCCTGCCCAGATCCGCGCCACGTGCAACGCATATCTGGAGGTGTCTGGCAAAGACATCACGCACACCCTCAAGCGCCGTCTCTCGAAGGACCTTGCTCGCGGTGCGTCTTGCTGCATGCGTGCACATGTGTTTTGTGTGATCATGTGTTATGTGTGCGCGTGTTTGTGCGTGTTTATGCGTGGATGTGTTCATGTGTGCGCGTGGATGTCAGTTTTTCAATGTGTCAGTCCCGCCAGGTTGTATTCATTTCATTTGATTCAACCCCCGGCCCCCTTCTGCCTCGGTGTCAACCGCTGTATGTGATGTGATGTGCTGTGATGTGATGTGATGCTCAGGCATGATTGCGATTGTGTCGTGCGCCCGCAACCCCGCGCGCTACTTTGCCACGCGCATCTACAAGGCGTGCCACGGCCTGGGCACCGACGACCTCGCCCTCATGCGCATCATCGTCTCCCGCTCAGAGGTGTGTATGTGCAGGCGTTTCCCAAGCATATGCGAGCGATGCGTGCATTTGATCCTTCCACATGCACGCGCACGTGCCTGGCCCGTTGATGCTCATCATCCACCATGTGCGCCACGCTTGGGCGAACGTCGTAACAGGTTGACATGGAGCAGATCAAGGAGGTGTACCCTAGCGTGCATGGCAAGTCTCTTGCGCGCACCATCAAGAAGGAGACGAGCGGCCACTACCGCGACCTTCTCATGGGCCTCATTGGCGAGGCCGAGAACGACGAGTGAAGTCATCGACCAGCAGCGGCAGGGGCGCACCGCATCTTGGCGACGAAATGCCTCAACGCTGACCTCTGTTTGTGTCGTGTTTCGTTCAAGCCACCGCCGTTCTTGTCACACTGGCAAACAAGCGTGCTGCCCCCCCCCCGTGTTGGCCGCACGCATGTTCTTGCATTCAGTGCTCTCCACTCCCTCTTTCTCCGTAGCACAAACCCTCCACAATCCCCACACAACCCTGTTCGCCCTCCGATCACACACGCAAATGTTACAAGGCATGTGCACGTACGCAGTGCCCTGGTGCACTCGTTTTCGTTCTGGTGCTTGCCGGTTCACGTGCATTCTGGTTCCCTTTCTTGGGCGCACAACCACCAGCCCTGCCTTTTCTTCCCACCCGCCCCCAACTCACACTCTCATACACAAGTCCATCAACTGTACGTGCATGTGTTTATCCGTCGTGGTTTGCGGTTATCGGCAGCAACAGCAAGGGAAGGGGAAGGGCAAGAGAGTGGAACAGGAGCTTTGTTGTGAAAGTGTGGAAAAGGGTAACAGTGGTTCAAGTATGAAGGTCACCACCATTCAAACAAACTGTTGTTCAAGAGAAAGAGGTACAATAATACGGGGTTCAAGAACTAAGTGGAGTGTGAGAATGTCACTTATGTAATGGAGTACAGCGTGACGCGCTTGTGGAAGTCGTGCACTTGGATGACGCAGAGTGTGGCGGCACGAATAGTAACTGTCGGGTCACTGGAGTCTTACAGGTCTTCCCTTCGTTTCCGCAGTCGCTTGACCTTCTCTGCAGCGTTCATGAACATCTCCTCGCGCTCCTGCTGCATCTTTGCCATGCGCTTGCGTAGCTTGGCAGCAGAAGCCATGATGTGTTGGTGTTTCTTCTCAAAGTGGCGCACATGGTGTCCATGCGTGTCGTCCTGCTCCTGTTGTTGGATGAAAACATGTGGTACATGTATGTGTGTGTGTGTGTTGGGGCATGGGGTGAGGAACATGGAATGCCAAGCAAACACAGCGCGTTGGTGATAAACCAAGTACAGTACAAAAACAACCAGCGCAAAGCAAACAAGCAAGCGAGCCAGCAAGCGAGCCAGCAAGCGAGCCAGCAAGCGAGCCAGCAAGCGAGCCAGCAAGCGAGCCAGCAAGCGAACACACACACACACACACACACACAGACAGGCACACACGCAGACAGGCACACACGACCACACACAGGCACACCCACCCACCCACACCCCCCCCACACACACTCTCTCTGACCTTCAGGTCTGCGGCGAGCTTGTCCATGTCTGCAATGACCGAGTCATCGTATTCCAGCGCATGGCACCCCATCAAACCACCAGCACCAGCACCAGCACCAGCACCAGCATGGTGCCACAGCACACCTGGCACCACCACACCACACAACAGCAGCAGCAGCGCCACAAACACAAACACAACGCCGCCTCGCATCTTCACTCGACTGAATTCAGTCTTGTCAGAGAATGATCATTTCATGGTGTTGTTTTCCGTAACAACGCCACCGCCAGTGTTTTTGCCCGACCCGACCCAACAACAACAACAACAACACAACCAATATCGCACCCTCCTTCCTTCCCACAGCTTTCTTTCTCTTCTTTCTTGCCAAAGAAAGAAGACTTTTTGGGTCCTCCCGCTGCCCTTCCGCCCATCTGCAGTTGCCAGGCACTCTTTGTCACGCCAGACGCGCTGCTCATTCCTTCACTTTGTGTACACAACACAGCACACCCAATAACCAAGCAAACACACAGAACGACAACAACAAACAGCATGGGCGCGCTAGCATGGTCGTCCACGCTGATGGCAGTTGCGGCGCTGGTGTGCGTTGCAAGCGCAGCACCCATGCCGCCTCCTCCAATGCTCTTGGTGCGAACGATTGTGATTGAGGCCAATACCGGCTCCTTGGTGTCGTCGCCCCACCTGGGCGTGGCACCACCTGACGGCGGCGCCTTGGCGCAGGAAGGCTATGAGTTCCGGTGCTTGGACTGCGTGCTCCCGGACGGCATTGTGTTTTCTCCGGTCAGCGGCCGTGTCTTCGGCCTGACAGACGCCATCGGCAACTTCACCGACATTTCCATCGGTGCGGCAACAACGGGGTCCCCAGACAACCAGTTTGTGCCTGTCCTCAACATCTCCCTCATCATCTCCCCAGCCACGGATCAAGGGACCATCCCTTTCGACGAGACCTTTGACGTGCTGTACCTGGACCAGCCGTTCTCCTTCCTCTCCAGCGTTGTTGTGAACGACCCAACTGTCGGGCCGTTTCTGCCTTCAAGTGTCCTGGACGATGATGACGACGAAGGCGGTGAGGATGATGATGATGGCGGCTTCTCTTCTCGCCGCCGCCGCGCCGCCTCAAATGTCACGGAAGTGCTCATCTTCTTCCTCGATGGCGACATTCCCTCTGGCATCCAGGTTGATGCGTCCACGGGCATCATCAGTGGCACGCCAACCCAGCAGGCCGACACCCGCACGCTCACGTTGTATGCTGTGCTCGGCGGAACAACCATCGCCCTCGTGCGCATCAACGTCACAGTCACCAGCGACGACTGCAGCGTCGCCACCAACGGGCCAAACGGGCGCGCGTGCGAAAACGGCGGCACGTGTGTTGATGGCGCACGCGGAGACGCCGCGTTCACGTGCGAGTGTCTGGACGGGTTCCAAGGCCCAAACTGCGGCGTGTCGACAGATGCATCGTCATCAGGTGCGCTGTCAGAGTCATCGCGTATCGCCCTCGGTGTCGGCCTCACTGTCGCCGGCATTGCTCTCATCGCCGTCGCAGTGATTGGCCGAAAGTACTTTAAGGACAACAAGGTGTGTGTGTGTGTGCATGAATGACGGGTTGCGCGCGTGTGAGTGCATATATGTGTGTGTGTGAATGTGTGCGTGTGTGCGCGTGTATGAATGTGTGAGTCGTGCAACCTGCCTTTCTCTTTCAGAGGTGTACTTGTGTCGCATCAATTTACGCGATGCAATGCGTGCGTGTGTGTGTGTGCGCAGGTGAAAGATGCGTCTTCGATTGTGTTTACGCCACCAGAGCCCGACGTGTGGGAGTACCCGCGCGACCAGCTCACCCTCACTGGCAACCTCGGCAAAGGTTCGTTCGTGCATGCCATGAGTGTGTTTATGTTTGTTTGTTTGTTTGTTTGTTTGTTTGTTTGTTTGTTTGTTTGTTTGTGTGTGTGCGCGCCTTCGTGTGTGTGTATTTGTTGATTGGATTGTGTGAGCGCGTACGTGTGTGTTTGTTCGCTCGCCCCCATATTTTTCTCTCAAAGCCAGTGCTCCTCACCTTCATGCGATGCTGTCACTTCCACACCCCCTCTCTCTTCTTCACCTCCTGTTGCCCCCATGCCATGTTCAGGTCAATTTGGGATTGTGAGCAGCGGCGAGGCGCTCAACATCCGCGGACAGCCCGGCGTCACCGTCGTCGCAGTCAAGCAGTGCGATCAAGGTGCAGTCGTGGTGGTGGTGGTGGTGTCTGACATTGTTGTTGTTGTTGTTGTTGTGTGGACTGGTGCGCGCTCACACACACACACTCTCTCTCGTCCTCACTCACATTTGCAAACCCACTCACACTCACTCGCGTGTATCAATGTGCAATGACCCCCTGTGTGCAGCTGTTGATGACCCTGTGCTGGTTGTGCAGCAGAAAAAGTGGTTTGTCGCCGAGGGCCAAGTCATGAAGCGCTTCAACCATCCAAACGTGCGTTGGTCTGCGTTTAAGAGAGAGAGAGAGAGAGAGAGAGAGAGAGAGAGAGAGAGAGAGAGAGAGAGAGAGAGAGAGAGAGAGAGAGAGGTGTGTGTGTGTGTGTGTGTGTGTGTGTGTGTGTGTGTGTGTGTGTGATGTGTGTGTGTGTGT